ATGTGTCTTCGGTAAACAACTACTGCGGATCCCCCCCCCCTCCCCGCGCGCCCCTTTTCCTAAATAAGGATTTTTTACCCCCCCCCCCCCCCCCCCCCCCCAGCTAAATTCTTCTGGCACTGGGTCTGTGTGGAGTGTCCCACAATCAGGAGAAATTAGAAAGAAGAATGGGACTAAGGGCATTTTGCCACTCGAGGACGAATCGATACATAATATCAGCACGTTTTAATTCCGCATAAACCTTTACCGACTTCGCAATGTCACACCGTGTTCATAAAAGTTCTCTCCCCGCCGCCTTGAATAAAAAGAGATAAATCCATCAAAAAATTCTTCTTGCTTTTATAGCCGCCACCCCCACCCCCCCTTCCTCCTCATCTCCATTTTGATGTCTGTCTATTAGCAGAGGGTGAGGCCTTTCCTGCTCTCCCATCCAGGGGCTAAATTAGCTCAATCAGCCCTCTTTCACCTCTCTTCCGTGGGCTTCAAACTGAGTGACACACTGCTCCCCTGGGATGTAAGGAGGACTCACACACACATGCACACACACTAAGCCCAGCAGCTATGTGGACGGTGGGATTGGGAGGGGGGCAGCTTTTTAGAGTGACGTGCAGATGAGCAGGAAGAAGGATGAAAAGGAGGATTGGTTGGAGCAGAGGATAAAGTTTCATTTTCCCTCTGTCCAGTGGAGGCTTCAGCTCCTTCATTTCTCAATGAACTTTTATTACAGTATTTCACTTCTTCCTCATACTTCTCTCGGGGCAAATGAAGTGCTCAAGGTGTTACTTTAAAAAAAAAAAAAGGCCCGTCCACGAGAAAAAGAGGCAACTTCTCAAAGTGCCTCTTCTTTACTCAACCTCCTGCACACTCCTCCAGAGCCAAAGTCCGCTTCCCTGTGCCAGCTTTTCTTAAATTGCACCTTCATGTTTGATTTGTCTCGACCCTTCCCCTCTTTCCCTCTCACTAAACATCCTCCTAAGTGTCTGTGGAAGTGCAAGGCAGGCACTTCTGTAGCTGTAATAGCAAAGCGTGCGTGCACGTGCCTTGGGAGGAAGGGAAGATGGGCAAAAAGGTGGCGATCAGAGTGAGCCATAAGATCTACTCTTTGCAGCTCTACAGGGATTTATTAGACTGGGAAGTACATTAGCATCATAAAGACCCGGGAGAATAGGTCTGTGGATGGGCTGCTGACACCATCACCGCACTCCCAACATGCTCCGTGCTATCAGTGTGTGTGTGCCTGTGTGCATGTGTGAGGATAAGGGAAAAAGATTACCCTGATTTAACTTAAGAAAGGCCGTTATGCGTTTTATGGATCATCCCAAAGCAGCGCTGGACTAATACATCGGGAGATGATGGAAGGAGCTGCAGAAGAGGAGGAGATACTCTAACAAAAGACGACAGGGAACAGTTGAAGCTCTGACAATAAAAATTAAGATATTTAAACCAAACTGAAACCAGTTGTTTGTAAATTAATTTCAATTTAAATGGTTTTTATTTAAATTTTAAAAAGTAGGAAAACTAATAGTCTTGCTTTTTTACAAGGAACAAGCAAAAAAAAACAAAAACTGTTTTAGTATTTGAGAAAGGCTCATCAGCTCAGGCCTTTCTGTAAAGAAGAGCGGGAACTTGGTCAGTGATGTGGATCTCTGCTGCCATCTGGTGGACATAGCATGTAATAACATCTTTAGTTTCAGTTTATCAGTCTCCAGCTTGCCACAAAATACCACGAACACAAATGTTGGTGGCATTTATGGACCAAAATGTGATTCATTTATATTTATTGCTCATCAACACAGTGTAAAAGTCTTGGGTCATGTGTCATTTCATTATATCTTCACCTCCAAGGAGACATATTTGCTTGTAATCTTTCAACGTGGTTCTGTTCATCAGGCTTTCTGAAGGTCTTTCAGTTATTTCAGGGGACTTTGGCTGCTTTTTCATTCATCTTCTGTCCAGTATTTGCCAGTTTTCAGAGGAATGTTTTTGTTTAGACTACTTAAGAATCATTGAACTTTATATTTGCTTAAATGCTCCTTTGATTTTTTTTTTTTTTAAGTTCGCTCATTTTTATCTTCTCCCCTCCTTTCCTGAGAATCTTACAAATATGCAGATTTCAAAATGACTTTGTTTCACTTCAAAGTCCAGTTTGCAGTGTTTGCTCAATGAATGCTTTAAGTTTCAACATCGCACTTATGTAAGTTGCATGGTGTACCTGCAAATCGATTAATTGATTGTAGACGTTAGTGATGTCACAAAATCATTAGAGGAGAAGATATCAAAATAAAGCTTTTTATGTAACACACACAAGCACATAAAAACAGCAAAGTCAGTGAATGGATTCGGGTAAAACATTTTATTTTTTTAGTAAATTCAGAGCCACTTTTCCCTGCGTGGCTGCTCTGCAGAGTGCCCTCAAGTGGAGGAATAGAGGCCTGAGGAGCTCCTCGGAGTGTTGGCTGGAGTGACTGCAATTAAAGTCCAACTGTAGCAGAAAGACACGATTCTGGCAGAGAACAAATGCAGAGTCGGTGCTACGACACCAGACAATCACACAACACTGGCTCAGAGTTTTATGTGAAGACGGTCATCTTCCAATCTCCAGGGGACCCAAAGTCAGGGAGGAGAGAAGCACATGGGGGCAAAAACACTGATTTACTTCAATCTGACCAGATCTGCTGCACAATCTTACATTCATCAAACAATTTGCTTGAAATCACAGCAGCATATAATAACCGCCTCCCAAAATTAAACTAGAGAGAAAAATTTAATTCCAATCGTATAAAAAGGTACCCTGAATGTGCACAATCTCTTCATCTTTAAAAAATAAACAAGAGTTCAGGAAGTGTGAAAATTTCATTTCTTTCTTCCTCCCGTGAATAAATTTACATCGTCCTTCTGCAAAAATGGGTTCGAGATGAAACAGAAGTAAAACAATAAGTACAAACGAAACGCATTTAAGTGGCTTAGTGGCGCACAACGTGTGAAATAAGTCTTATTCCATGGACAAAGTCTAAACAATACAGGTTCTAGTGCTTTGGGGGATAAAACGAAGAGCAAACTCTAAATTAAAATAACAAACACGAGGCAAAACAAAACCAAAATAAACCAAAAAAAATCATAATAATAAAAAAAAAATCAGGTCTGATCAAAACGAACATCAAATCAAAGACAAACCACAGGTTTCAACACAGCAGACATCCAACAACAGGTTCACCACAAGCTGCTCCAGCTGGAGTCGTGAATTATCTGAACGTGACGGCAGACCTGAGCTTCACCTCCGCAGCTGGACGCTTCCCTCACATCACAAGGGAGGAGGCTGAAGACATCACCGGGCTGATCTGGAAACAGCCTGAGGGCGCGTTGAGCTTGTGCATGTGTGTGTGTGAGTGGAACAGCAAGGCAGGCATGTGACTGGCGAGCGTCTGCATGTTGAGCTTGTGCATGTATACGAAGGCGTGCATGACAGAATGCTCCAACGCTGTGCTTTTAAAGTGGAGACGAAGAAACGTTCTCATTCTTTCCTCACTAAACCTTCACCGCTGCTTTTTTTACCCCCCATTGAAGAAAACAGAAGCAAATTGAACCCTAAAGCTACGAATAATCTCCAACATATAAATCATGACCAGAAAAAAGAATAAATGCATAAAAGAAAAGGCAGATTATAGCCCTGAAAAGGCTGAAGTTATTTATTTATCTTTTTTTTCAAAAAAAGTTCCTGCTTGTGCTTTCTGTCACAGTACCTGAGAATTTTGACACTTTTTATTTTTATCAATTTTGGACTTGTAAAGAGTTCACCTCGTCTTCAACAGAGTGATAGAGGTGTAAAAATCAGCTGATTTCCTCGTAATGCGACAAGAAAATCAGCTTGAAGTTGCTTAAATCGAACAATCTGTGTAATATGTGGGCATTTAAAAATTACGCTCCAACTCACCCAGTACAGATGTTTGTGTACAGCTGACGTCTGAGGCGGAAACAATGTGGAATAACCAACAGAGGAATGCAGAAATGTGAGCAGCCCGCTTCCCCTTAAGATAAATTACGCATGCAGAACCATGGCGCTACTTTCCTTTTATTAACTATCGTTCATTCAATCATTTACGGTTATTAAAAGAGGTTGAGCGAGGGGGCAAACAACAATCACGTGAGACGATGGACTCGCTTGTCCTTGTATCCGATCGCATCAATCTAATTAACTGCCGATGCCGTCTGCTGTTTCACTTACGATTCAGAGCCACGTTTATGGAAACAAACGAGCTGCAGAAGTGACCGGGCTGTGCCGGTTCACAACTTGTAAACGCTCAGCCTGCTTGGTGAAGTTTCAGCTTGCTCAGATTCACTTACAGGCACTTGTGTATGTGTGTGTGTGTGTGTGTGTGTGCAAATGTTTGCTCTTTACAGCATGTTTCCATCTGTGTAAATGTACCTTTGAACCTTCTTCCTCCTGAACCGTTACAGAGATAATTCTACCAAAACTGATATGTGTAAAAACTGTGATGTTTGAGCAAAACGAATGATTTCCTTTACAGTTTTTTTTTTATGCCGTTTACATTTTATCTGAACCACTCAGAACTCTGAGTGAGTGTATGTGCGTATAAATGTGTCTACATGATGTCTCCATCCTCTATGCTGAAGCTGGATCTGCGGCTGGAGTCTACAGAGGCCTCGGGGGACATTGCAGAGAGCAGCGGGTCTCCACCTATAGGGGACAAAGGCTGGTCCATCATCAAGAACCCCAGCTCGCCTCTCCTCGCCTGGACGTCGAGTCCACCAAGGTCGCCCAGCCCCGACATGCCGTCGGAGAACCCGGGAATCCCGTCGCACAAGTCAAGTGACTGAGCAAAGTCAAAGGGCTGGGAGCTGCCCACAGCTGGGAACTGGATGGGCTGCTGGAGGTGTTGGAGTGGTGGCAGCTGCCTGTGGGGAGGCAGAGCCTGGCCCTGGGGATGGAGGTTGTTCTGGGGGAGGAAGTGGTGCTGCTGGGCCTGAGGTTGAGCCTGGCTATGGGGCTGCAGGTGCTGGTGTGGGTGGTGGGCTTGTGGCTGGGGATGAGAAAAGTTCTCCTCTGGGCTGGTTTCTTGTTTTACGTAAGGAGACAAGACTTCAGTCAGGTTGATGCCAGAGGGGGGGGTGCTGGGCAGGCCGTGCAGACGAGCCTGCATCTCCAGCTCCTGTACACACATGGCACAGTCATCAAAATCCCTTTCATTGCTACGGTCCTGCACATATTACTGCGCACGTGAGTTACCTGAATGCGCAGCACAAGCTGCTTGTTGGCCATCTCCATTCTTTTGAAGTTGTTCTCCACCTCTCTGGACCTCTGGACGTCCTTCTGCATGCGCTTGATGTAGTCTACAGATGCACGCAGTATTGTTCCCTTGTTCCAGCGCACGTCACTGCACACGCAGAGCAGCACATGCACGCATAAGTAAACTGTAACCAGCTGGTTTGGATCGGTAACGGCGAAAGTGAAGCAACTCACAGGTCGTTGGTTTTGGGTATCATGGTTCCCAGCTCTTTGATGCGATCGTTGATGTTGAACCTCCTCCTCCGCTCGACTACAGCAGAAGAGAGAAGAATACAAACCGTTCAAATGACAAGTGCACTTTTTTTCATTGCAGAAGTGCAGCTTTATGCATTATGGTGATGGAGTAAAAAATGGCGTGTGCGCACACACACACACACACACAAAGTTACAGGCAATTGCTTTTTAAGTGCTGGGACAGCAGAAATGATCGAGTTAACCATCTACCCTCTTGTTGTACTGTGTCAGCTAAATCAGCACAAAGCTGTATAAAGCTGTTGGTGCAAGACACAAATTATGCTGTGTGAATCTTAGTGTGTGTTCTTGCAAGTATTTCTGAAGCGCTCTACTGAGGTGCTAACTTTTGCATCAGGTAAACAGCATGCTGAGGCAAAGACTTACTCAGATTGTGGTTATCTTTCTTCTGTCTCTCTTTGGCCAGAGCACGGGCTTCTGTGCCTTTGCAAAGACAAAAAATAATTACCTAATGGCTGACAAAGTTATCGTGGATCAACGCTGGCTGTGAGACAAATTATAACAACGATCACAGTTGAAGCCAATAAGGGATTCGATTAGAGTACAAGTTTAAAATCAGATAAATGTTGTGCAACTCAGATGTCCGCACCTGACAGTTCTCGCTTGATGGTCAAGTTGGCAGGACAGGAGTTACTCGTCATGGCGATGGCTGGCCCCTTCATCCCAGGACCCGTGTACACATCCAGGTGACTGCTTGAAAGTGGGAGCTGAGGAGGGAACACACAATCGTTTAAAGAAAAATATATATATTAATTTAAAAACGCGCTCAAAATATTAACTAAGAGGAAATAATCGTTTATTCCTAAAACTCAACACAATGCCACAAAAGGCCTTCACTTATGGTTTAATAATAACTTACGAGTGAAGGCTTTCGTGAAATGCCAAATATATTTCCTAAATGAAACACGTCTGATCATGTCAGACTTCATTTGTTCTACGTGATGGGTTTTATTGACCACTCCTTGGCAGCTTCATCCACCTTGTTAAGTGCGTTTATGAAGTCCGTGCTACTGTTTATTGTGCTGTAAACATCACATAGCTGAAGATAATGAAAAAATATCACACCTGAAAACAGTTTGCCAATAACACAGCAATGATTGACAGTCACCATCCATCTTATCAGTCTTTATGGCCCAGCTTGCTCCTCAGCTTTCCTCCAGCTACTAAAATCACGCCTGTGGAGCACTCCAAACTCCAGTTTCTTGCACTTTAGACGTTGTAAAACTACTGTAATTTAGGTTTGTATGGACTCTTAAAACGATTTGATTTCCCTTTAATTGCATAGGTCAACGACTGTGATGGACTTTTTTATGTGTATCAAGAAGCTGTGTCACCCTCCCTGAAGCAAGGGCAAATATGGCACTGCTAATGAGGCCTGAAAGATAAAGAGCTCGATGGGAAATGTAACTTCAGCTGGAAGCTACTGCGGGAGAAGGGAGATCAAACACATTGGCAGACATCAACACAAACATGGATCTCTGCTGGTTAATGTCTGCGCTTCAATTAATCACTCACCGACGATGCAAAAATCCAAAGAATGCTTTTAAGTAACGGTTCAGATCTTTTGAAGTGGAGGTCTGTGGAAAGGTTATGAAAAGTCAATATCTTACCTGTTGCTGATAGCTCATTGAACGACCTCAGTTTGGAGAATCGGAGTTAAATTATGACACGATTGATGAGCTAAAGGCTAGTCCAAGCAGCATCCAGAACCAAAGTAGATCGCCGCCATCCTTAAACAACTTGTCTTTTTTTTTTAAATATCACAGCAGCTATTTTATAAACCTATACAATGTCATAAACTTCACATTAAACAATTAACATAATTTCCGGACTATTGAGCGCACCTGAATATAAGCCGCACCCACTAAATTTAAAAAGAAAAAAAAAAAATTGTACATACATAGGTTGAACTTGTGTATAAGTCACGGGTGTCCACGTTGTAACATGTTCAATACTTTTAATTAAATACATAAAGTAAATGCTTTTTTTCTGAATAGTGCCTGTAACACGACTGGTTAAAATAATTAAATACAGTAGCCTTCCAGGAAGTGATTGATCGATATCTTCATCTTCCTCCTGCGCACTGCCCTCATGAGTTTGTGCTGTCCTCTTCATCAAGTTTCCCCCCTCCCTGGGGGGGCACAACGGGGAGCGGAGGAGAGAAAGGGAGCCCGTTGTCCCCAGTGGTTCAATGAAACTTGGTTTCATTGTAATTTCATTGGGCATATTTAAAAAAAAATCTTTATTTATACAGGTAATCTCATTGGGTCACGAGGACCCACCCCCCAAGAAAGATGTGTATTGGGCAGCTATGTGAGCGCCCGGGTGTGACGAGGCTAAATGTTTTGGCGGCATGAACGAGCTCGTTAGCCCATCAAAAAAATAAATAAATAAATAAATAAAAATTACAGTTGTTACTTTCAATAACTTGCAGCAGCAGCAAGCTGTAGCAGTTCCTGTGGAGTCAGGATCACTTCCTGCAGGAATGTCAGAACAGTTCTAGTGAAATAAACATGAAATGCAAAAATGATGTTGGTTTTAAAGTTTCTGAAAAAGAATTTGCATAAAATGCTGTAAAATTTGTTTTAGAACAATAATTCATTTTGGTCACGGCCCCACTCAGACTCGCCATTGTCTTATCTAACGGTAACTGGTCAGAATTACTGGTACTCTTTTTCTCCAACTTGAGGTCATTCAAAGAGCTATCTAAACAGGTAAGATGTTCTTTTATCTTTCGCCAAAACTTCACTTGAAAATTATCAGAATTAACCCTTTGATCTTATAAAGCTATCACAGTTTCGAGAGTTAACCGGTTCTTTTTTTAACGTCTAGAACACTGAAGTTAAACTGCACGTTAAATTGTGAAGTTATTAATAATAACCTTAATTATTTGTTTGAAGGTGGTAATTTGCAGCAAATATTTGTAGAAATCGGAAGCATTTTGGGGAAGATGTTACGTATGCCTGATTAAAAGTGCTAAAATCTCAATAAAAACCAGATTGTTGCTTTCACCTTGACTACAGATATAACGGTCTGTTTAACTCCAAGTCCCAGCCTCCTCCATGCTTATTCATTGACCGCATCCAATAAGAGTCCATTAATTCAATTAGCAAATAATTCTGACTGGTACTTAGCATGGATCAGTGTCTCCATCCATACACGGACACCCACGCACACTTAAGTATTCCCTTGTGCCTGGTGTTCAGTGGCGTCCCCAGCTCTTACTGAACATTGAAATTCCAAGAATTCCATGGAATTTGCAGCTTTAATCCCCACCAGGATTAGCAGGTGAGTTTCCTTCACTGTTCTGACAATAGTTTAAAATAATAATAATGAGAATAAAGCAGGAACATTTGAAGCGTGATGTAACAAGCCACCGTTTCTTTTCAATTACGGCACGAGGAACTAGTTTGTAAAACGGCGTTTTGTCAAACGATTGAGTAGTGTGTGCTGCCCAATCTAATCGAGCAGTGAGACACAGACCCAAGCACAAAGACAAACTTTAGGAGATTAAACCAATCAACCACACAGAGCAGTGGGAGATAAAGTTTACATCTCTGACACGGACACACGGCAGTGGAAGCAGTTCATCAGGTTGATCACGCAGTCTGGATTTAAGTGCTGCAGAAACATCACAAAAAATACTCAGAATTAACCCCAACCAGCCAAACCACTTCCTCATTGGCAATGGTTCCCTCTTATAATCAGAGACCAAAGGCTGACTATAAACTGCTGCTGCATCTGTCCCAACACTGAGAAGAAACAACTCCACGATTAGAAAAAAAAACTAAGCCAAGTTAAAGCAAAAACTGAGCTTTAATGTCTTACCAGCTGAATCTGTTCTCCTTCAATAACTTCCACAATGGCATACGTCTTACTCATCTCCTTCATCCTACACTCCTTCACTTAACAGAGCCGGTGGGGCTTCAGCTTCTCCTCTTCTGAGCACAAGTAGCTCTCTGTGGCTCCACCACCCCAGCACTGGGGGAATGACCTCAGCAGCACTGCTCCTGTCTGTCTTCTACCTCCACCTAAACAGGAGTGAACTTTCCCCTATCTGGACTTTCAGCCTGTTTTCCCCTTGTATAGATTGTCCTCATCCCCCTTTATCCTCCTCCCTCCTCTTTCTTTCCTCTACCTCCCGCTCTCTGAACGTCTTGTAAACAAGTTGAACTCTAACTGATGGCGGCTTAATTGTTAATTTTTCCCCCCCCACTCAGAGACAAAGCTTAGCACAGTTCCCCTGCTGACATGCCTTTCCCTTCAGTTTCTAACAAAGTTTAAGGATGCAACGTTTAATGCTCAAGTCAGTTAAATGCGCTGCTTTGTGCATGCGTTTGCCGTCTCTGTTTGTGCATGGGGCTAAATACCACAAAAAACCAGAACTAATTACCGTCTGTGCAGAGTCAGAAGAAGATTTGGAGTAAAATTCAATCACTGCCATGAAACATTAACTCACTGTGGTTCAACAGAACTAATAAATGAACAGACAACACAACAGTGGCTAATATTAGTACCCGTAAGTAAGAACATCACTGATACACAAGTAAAGTGACGAACATTACAGTGTTTACAGAAAAAAATGAAAAGTCCAGTTCCCTATGCTGATAACTTGGCTCAGATCTACTGGTTTAGTGAAGGCTGGAGTTTAAATTAAAAAACCCTTATGAGAATAAAGTTCAAAAGGGAAAACCATTCTTCAGTGGTTTTTATTTAAATATGTCAAAATCCACACGGATTTCATGGTTTCTTTCATAGGCGTTTTATTTCTGTCCTTAACGATGTTGCTTTTCAGTTTGAAAATGACACCATTTGCAGTTTTAAATTATCTTATATGGAAAAAAGGAAACAAAAATATTTAAAAAGTTCTTTTGTTTCAAACTGACGTACTGAAAGCTAAAACACTGTCAATAATTGAATAAAACTAAATTAAGTTACTCATAAATCTGTATTCCACTTAAAAAGATACATTAGAGAAGTTCTAAAGCTACAATAGGTTACTATCTATTAAAGTACTGTGCAAAAGTCTTGGGTCAAATCAATCGTTTTTATAATTTGCTTTCAAAAACTAAGACTTTCTGAAGGTCTTTCAAACTTGTTCCACACCATCTTACATATTTTTCAATTTCTAACAGAGAAATGAACATCATGATTGTAAACTATAACTTAAAACTTAAAAATGATGTCATTTACCCTTCAAAACGTCCAACCACAATAAAAGAATCGAATAACAGTGCTGAACTAAAGATCATAATCGCTCTTAAAAATGTTCACATCAGGCAAGAGAACAATTTGTCCAAGACTGATCTATAAACAAACAACCATGTTGTTGAAGCAGTACTTGACATCTCTTTACCTCAGCAGATACTCCAAGTCCTTCAAGTCCAATATTCCTTCTTGTTTCTAAGTATTGTGATGAAAATGAGTCTAATCCATGCATGAATGTGTCCAGCTTATTTCAAATCACTCCTAATTATTTAATTTTTTTAACCACCATTTACTGTGGAATGCTGTTTTGTATATTTATTTGTTAAACCACTGAATTATTTTGAATTATTCAGGAATAAAAATACTCCTAAACTCAAAGGATGAACCGGTGCGTCGACACGACAGAAAATTTAGCCAAAAAAAAAGTTTTACAGTAGTCCCTCATTACTTTGCAGTTCAACTTTCGCAGACCCCCTTCTCTTTTGCGGTTTTTCAAAGTAAGACTGGACATGACACACAATTGGCTGATTGATGGATGAGCCGCACGATCGGCGTGGATTTTTTATTAGCGCTTGCAGCCCACAGCTGCAGGAGAAGCTTCCTCCTGCAGCGTGTCAGGATCTCCGCTCTGCAGAGGAAAAGTGGGCGTGGCTGAGAGCGGCAGGTGGCAGAGAGCGGAGATCATGACATGCTATGCTTTTTTAGCGCGTTTAGAGTTTAGAAACATTGTTTAGAATATTGCAAGAGTGTGGGAAGGACACACTATTCCTACTTTACAGTTTCTCACTTATTGCAGGCGGCCTGAGAATGGAAACCCCCGCGATAAACGAGGGACTTCTGTACTCCGATCTTTAGAGACTTCCCTACCAGCAGTCTGTTCCCAAAACACCATTTTTTCCATTTCATTAACGGAGTTTCTGGAAAAACGTCAAAAATGACACAGTTTGACACACAAAATAGTGTTTTAGCACCAACAGGGGGATGCACGATTAGTAACTATTAGCTGAAAACCTGACAAACGAAGACCAACTGAAGGACGGTGCATCTCTCAGGATTTGCTTCAGCTCTTTGCTATATGTATTCTCCCTTTCCATCTTATGAACTAATTGAACTATTGACCAAAAGCCCCTACAAGTTTGTCAGAAAGTCAACTCCTTTGAAGCAAAGCATTTAAAAAAAATAGGGGTGGTTTAAAACTGTTTTTTTTTTTTTACATTACTGTTACTAAGTAAAAAAAAAACATTTGAATTTTTACAAGTCAAAAAATGCCTCGTAAGGTTTTACGATGTGTAGAGTCGATGATGCCCTCATTTATCTCAGTTAACTGGATGCAAAGTGCACGAGTCGTATAACACAAAATGTAAATGAAGGAATCCCAAAAACCCGTTTTATGTGGGTCAGTCCCACTTACCGTGTTTGGCATCTGGACGGCATCGACATACGGCTGAATGTCATCGTAACTGGACTGCATGCTCATAATGTTATCGATCACCTCATCCATCTGAAAAATAAACGAATAAACCAACTTAAGTCATTTCAGAACCCCTGAACTGAGCAGCAGCTTTACTTTTTAGACTGCAGCAAATTCAAAGGCGCAATAACTGAAAATGTATTAATTTTATTATAACGCTATAAATCTGATGGCATTTAAAGACTTGAAACGACATAAGTTTCTCTCACATGGGGCTGACTTGTAGGATTTTCTCTTGGAGGGACAGAAAGAAGAAAAGCTGCTCATTGAAGTGAGAGTTGGTCAAAGTCTTCGAGGTTCAAAGGCCTCTACGTTCTGTTTCTCTGTCACTTGTTAAGCTGTAATTACAGCTGGAAGGTCATTATGGAGCATTTAAACTCCACTAATTGTCACTCTCTGTTATTGCCAGTTAGTCAACACTTTCTTCCGACTGTATGCACATTAACTGGTTCGCTCACAGCCAATGCTCCACTGCCTGCCAAAAAACAATTAAATCATTACGACGCTTCCATAAAAAAGTGGAGAGGGTCCTGCTTTCGGGGTAATTTCCAGTCCTCGTAATCTCACATATGGACACAATTAAGTTGTATTTTGGTGTTATTTGTTAAGTCTGGTTCTTGTAAATTGAGTTTTACGAGAAGGCCATGAACTTCGTCGTTTATGGGTTTATGTTTATGCCCCGATCTGCTCGTTGGCACCTACCTCATTCTCGTGGCTGGAGCCAATGTTGAGCATGGCCATGGGGCTGTTGGGGGCGCTGTTGCCAGACATGAGTTGATCCTTCAGCAGGTGTGGGGAGTGGAGAGGTGGGGGTGCAGGCGCTGAGCCCCCGACAGGGCCCATGTTTGTGGGAGGCGATGGTGGCACATGCCCTGCTACTGCAAGGACCGTCTAAGGAAACAGAAAGAGGATGATATTAATAGATGATAGAGCAATACATTTACTTCAGTACTACACAGACTGTTAAAGTGGGTAAAAAGTAAATGGCAGGCTGTATACTCTGTGTTGTCTATATACACTTTGGATATGCAGTACATTGTAAAAATGTTGAATTTTCCCTCATTTCTTTATATTTTCCTTCAAAAAGACAGACTTCATTGTAATTTTTAAAGTCCTCTTGGTCAATAGTTTTTCAGACATTCAAAACCTTTTTATTTTATTTTTCACCCCTTTTCAAAAACCAGATCTAAACATTTACAACATGTTTACATTTAGGTCAGATTAAGTCCAGTTTGCGCCTAAACAGCATAAATCTACAAATGCTGACACCCACTTTTTATTACATGTTTTAAGACGGTAACTCAAAAAGTTAAATTGAAGTAAATGAAACGAGCAGTTTGTCTTTTTGTTGGGAATGATAAAAGGTTTTCACGTCAAAAGATGAGGGAGAAAAGCGTACGACTGCAGACTGATACCTGTTTCGTAGCAAAGGTGGTTGAAAGGTATTCTTTCACTTGTTGCCTCCGCGACTGACGAATATGATAGTCTGTCGGATTTTCAAGGTGTGTTTGTACCTGTTTTAGGAAAAAAACAGAAAAAAAATGTCAGAATTTTTTTTTTTCTTCAAAGAACACACACAGAACGCAATATATTGAGCTTATTTCAATTAGCACTCATACACAATACAAAGGCTTATAATAAATCAGTCATAGAGAAAATACATATCTTTGATTTACTATAAAAGCTTATTAGTTCAGTACGGGTCACCACTATTATTTAAACCCCGAGTTCAGAGCCTTGTGATGGTGCTAGGATACAATAGCATTAGTTCATGTCTACAAAAGAAAAGCTGCTCTAAATCCTCAACTGTGGCTAATGGAGCAACGGGTTGGTCTGATTCCGTCACGTCAAAGACCAGGGCCCAATAAAGAGAACCCCAACACCACCGTTCAATTTAAAAGCCAAACGCAGGATTATATGAAATGAGCCAGAAACATTGTAATGAATAAATGTTTGCATTTCTTCCTGCCTTTTGCACAAATCTTTTACGTCTCAACCTAAGCCAATATCATTTTGGTAATTTTAAAGGAAGCCCTCAAGAAAATGAAGAAAAACTGATGAAGTGTTTTGGGAGAAAGATGAAATGTTCCAACAAAAAGAAACCATCCAGAGGACCTGACTTAACTTTGTTGGATTATCTGCCTGGATTATTGAGCATGAATCAGGATATTTTGAACCACTTTGCCTATGACTGCCTGAAACGAGTCGGTGGGGGAGAGGGCGGACTCCAGAAACCATCCGAGCACCATCAAACTAGTTGACCCACTATGTGAAGGTGCTACTCGTAACACTGAGTTTGTTGCGGCTCCTCTGACTGATGAAGTCTTTTGGATGAAAGATGAAACATTTCAACAAAAAGAAACCATCCAGAGGACTTGACTGAACTTTGTTGGGCCCTCAAGAAAATATTTTCTAGGATTTCTTCTACCTTTTTAATGCTGCATAAAATTTGGCTCGGTGGTTATTGTGTAATCTTAAATTGATTTGGTTACACTCTTGCCCCTCAGTTGCAGAGAAACAAGTGTTCGCTCATGACTACTCGACTAGTCAGGCCGAGCCCCGTCAACACAGATGAAGCCCAAAGAAACAGTTCGCAGGAGGTCCAAGCTCGGTGGGCTATCCTTAATCTACAGCAGGAAAAACACAGACTTTGTAAACACCATTGCATTCAGCCACACATGCACCCAGTTAACGGTCAGTGCGGCGAGTTGCCACATACTACAAGGAATGCATGCACTATGGACACATCTACAGTTTAAAAAAGGACAAAGCAACATCCTCACACATCTGAGGGAGTATTGCACAACCCCCACCCCCCCCAACACACACACACAAATACAAAAGATAAGGACAAACACAGGCATCTCTGGAATCAGACAAAATGTCACTTCAGCTTTATCTGTCCATGTCTGACTAAGGCCGTTTCTATCTGCATCGCCTCGGACTCACAGCGCGGAACATGTTAAATGTCTCATCAATCCTGTGTGTCTTGCTGCTCTCCTACATTTTACCTTTTTGGTTTTCAAACCAAATCCAGATTTTTCCTCTGAATGTAGGCGCTGCACCTTGTTGTCACATCATTCAACATTTTAAGATCTTTTCTGTTGCAAGTTAATCCAATCAATAAGATATGTGTATGGATTTGTCTCAGCTGCTGTAACTGCATAGAGACTGCATGTGAGACGCGGAGACTTTAAAGAACATTTCATTTCATTCCCACGGACTGTGCGGTGAGAAAGCCAGTCTAAAACAAAAAAAATCGGAATGGTGGTGTGCAGAAGAGTTGTTCATCGGATCAGAATTATCATATTTTTCATACATAATAATTTCTAATAACATAAATTCATAATTTCTGCTTTGGTCACATTACATCTGTATTATAATTGAATACTCCATCTGTACTGTTTTTCTAAGCATTTTTATTGTTTTCTATTGTATGGATGTACACATGTTTAAATGTTTTCATTTTTACTTTATTTCACTTTATTACTATTCGCACCTTATGTCGAAGCAAATTCCTAGTTTGTGAACCTCGTTCATTGACATGGCAATAATAAACTGATTCTGATAAGGTGCATTAAGCAAAACAAGTTCATTATGACAGATTTTTGCGTGCCTGTTGCAATAAACAATAAATCAATAAATCAATTAATCACATGATAAATGAAAAGTATAGACCTCATTTTCATTTATCGGATTTATCGATTCTTCGTGTCTCTCTCTTTCTACTGAAGACACTGGATGTTAAAAGGTTAAACTCCGGTCTCTTCACTGACCCCTCCCTCTCTCTTTTCTCTTTAAAATCGGGTTTAACCGTCCAAAATCGCGTTTTTGGATCGTTACAAGCAGCTAAGCTGAGAAGCTAAGCTACGAGCTAAGCCAACAGGCCGACCTTGGAAAAAAACCTCCGTCTTGTCAAAGCGCCAAAATTTGCGGTTGAAACTTGTGCCTTCGTCTAAAAAGTTTTCTTTGCAAAAAGAAGCTGAGAACTTATTTACAGATTTTTTTCATTAAAAGCTTTGTGTGAAAAATGCTATGCTAAAGAGCTCAAACCGCACCGAGCGTCCGCCATTTTGAGAAACGAAAAAAGGAACGAGAGACAGACCATCACGTCAAGGGGCCTCCCTCCCATTTTTACTTAAAAAGACTGCTCGCTCCCTCACTATCCATCCTTCGGTTCAGTCTTGTACTGCCATCCAGTGGTCAAAAAGGTACTACACACAAAGTTTACCAACGTTTCTTTTTAAATTTGACAATAATTACTAATTATTGTCAGATTTCAAACAATATTATCGTTTATCGCAATAATTCCTGAGACAATTAATAGCCCAGCAAAATTTGCAATCGTGACAGGCCTACGTGTGCCACATAAAATCGGTTCAAGGTCAGTAAGCACAACCAGAATTAATACATAAGGCTCACTGTCATTTTTTGAGAAAACTAAAGGATTTCAAGTGTGCCTTATAGTCCAAAAAAATACCGTAAATAGTTTCTACAAACTAAAGTTGTTCAGAGAACTACCTCCAGAAGAGAACGGTCCATTACATTTCCACACAACCTCAGGTCTATCACTTTAAATACTTCTAAAAACATCTTTGTCAATCAGTATGTATCACTCAAGATAAAATGTGTGACATTTAAACTCAAACCTTAACAATATATCAGTCAGAAAACAAGTTTGTAAAATAATTTTTGAATTTGTCATTTTTGCTGATTGAGGCTTTTCTGTATTTGCTTTTGTTTACAGTAAAATACTTCCATCCAGGTGTTTCTCATGATACATTTTCATAAGCGTATTGATTATTCAAGTTAAAACAAGCTGTCAATAAGAATTTCTGGCTGTGGCCACGCTGACCTTCAGAACCTCCACGGGCACCTGCATGCTTTGGTAATGCTGCGGGGCGCTGATGGCAGGGGTGGGTGCAGGCGGCCCCGCCATGCACTGCTGCATGTACTGCAGCGCTGCATTCTGCTGCTGCTGCCGCTCACGCTGCTCCTCCTGCTGCAGCTGGTCCCGCATCAGCTGGTTAAACACACACACAAACACCACATGAACGCTTAATTAAAGCATGCACCAATTTGCTACTGTGCTGGGGGAGGTAATTTAGGATATTCTCAACTCCACCCTTCAGTTTGTATGCATGGAGCAGCAAGCGTCCTGAAATTATTAAATTAATTTATAGGAACAATTTGAAAAGTGGAAGCACTAAAATATACAAAGGTCAAAGGAAAAGTCAGACGTTATCAGTGGAAAAACTAAAGCCTGAATGAACTCGACCATCAAACAACTGACCCCTCCCAAATCAGAATATTTACAGGATCACATGACATTTGTTATATCGTGCATGTGCTGTTTACTAAAAGGTGGAAGGTAGCTGGGCTTTACCTGCATCCGCAGCCCGATGCGTGAGGCCATTGCTGGGGGGCGAGGGGGCAGGGGAGGGCGAGCCGAAGTTAATGCACCGCAGTCCAGCCCGAATGCTTGAGAAATCTGGGGAGATGAGGAGAAAAATCACATTCTGGCATGAATAAAACCCGCCAGGAGCTGCAGGCTTCTTTCAGCAAAACACCAGATTAAATGTTTACAGGTGTCGTTGTTAAGACAAGTACAAAAGATCGACAATGACATGAAAATAAGCAAACCGTCTGAAACCTGCTGTACATAGATTTAAACTATTACAAAGTATTCAATCAATCATTTGAACTAAACTGTAGCTCTTAACTGTATTGAGTTACTGTGTCTCAGACTCAAAAACTGCTCTTACAATCACAGCTGTGCAGTTTTTAATGTACAGAATCAGTCTGCATTTACTCTGAAGATTGTGGAGTCCAGCAAATGTACGATTATTACGGTATTATTATTATTAACTGTGTCTCTTTGGTTTTCGAGGAACTGACTCGAGTTAAAACAGGCTGCATCGATACGTCTGGGTATTTAAATGTGAAATTCATTCAACCCTCATCTGTTTTTATTTTCTTTTGAATAAAGAAAATACATGTGTACACAAGCATACTGACGAAGCACCATTCCCATGTAAACATCTTCACGTTCGCTGCATCACAGCATTCAACCGCCAAAATGTGGTGAAGTCAGGGAAGACTTCCTGTCATGTCAGAGGGGTCATGTGGAAGTCACGTTATCTTGTAGTCCTGGGGAGATCATGTGAGCCAACGATGCAGGGAAACACCCATCACCCGACTCGGCAACATCTCTCCTCTTCTTCCCTTTCATGCTCAGACAAACACCGAGGGGAGTCCCAGCACCGCTACTTCCTCTTCTGCAATGACTTGTGCTCATCCCTGCATGACTAAGTTTGTCTGGACACATAGGTGTGATGGAACCAGGGTCGGGTTTCTGCTCCGCACGAATATGCATCCGATTTGTCCACTTTATCATCAAACACGCAGTCTGTACATGGTCATTAGGCAAAAAAAGACACAAAGAGAGAAAAAGACAGACAGAGAGAGAAAAGCTCATTGTTCATGATGTACAATAAGAAGGGCAGCTCCTATTGAGAAGGACTGAAGCCGCCTGTTGTCCCAAGTGTACATTTCAGTGCTCAAAGTGGCACACACTGCCTGCTTTGTGCCCATTAGACGGCCTACATGAAAAAACACACACCCAGGCAGCGAAACGCATCGATACACATTCAAACACAAACTTGAGCCAGAGCGTGGACGTCAACTTTTGCATTAGCAGCTCCGAACTGCAATTCAATTCAGTTTATTTATATAGTGCCAAGTCACAACAGAAGTCATCTCAGGGCACTGAACAGAAACATTCATATATGAGAATAATAATTTAACATTATTTAATCGAACACTCGCAACACAAGACATATTTATATTCGTAGTCCCCTTGTAGTGATTGAAAATAATAATTCATTTAACTAAACTGTATATGATCATTTAAAGCAGCACATTAAACGGCAGCATCCATCAAGAGGGGAAAAATCTCTGATGATTGATAAAAATTGTTTTTACAATTTCTTCTCTTTAAAAAAAAAAATCCTAATTTTATTCTTTTAATATTTTTTACATTTTTTTTAATTGTAATATGAGCAAAATCAAATACTAATAATTTGAGTAATTTTGCTTTAAAGCAGAATATTCCCAAAAGTCAAGACATGGCTTTTTGATGCCGAAGACTGAAGGAAGCAATCCTGACAGTTTGATTTACAAGGTTTTACAGGGAATATTTTTTATGCGCTGTAAAAAAATGAATTAACTGAGACAGTAATTCAACCTGTTCAAATAAACTAGCACAAGCTGAGTGAAGAACACAGTTGAAGCTATAAGGAAAGTTGCCGTTTAAAAAAAATGCAGCTCTCTCTTGTTCTTTTCACAGATGTGACATCACAAAGTTAAATTATTTGAACTTTCACGTTTTACCAAATCATATTAAACGGTAACAGAAGTGGATTCAGGTCATTAAAGGACAACAAAATATCTCTAATGAAACTCAGTAAAATAATCACTGGATGCACATTTGCAGCTGATTAACCAGTAGTAGCCGACAGTCAAGCCCAACATGCACGTATGAGTCTCATGGTCAGTGTATGACAGTTCCCATTAACACCATAACAGAAAGCAAAAACATTTTCATTTTGATACTACTTCTAGCATGTGACCTTGCACAATAAAACAATTAACTTATAGACAATAGTTCTCAATTCAAGCATTTAGTGCTAAATGTGTTCGGTATTTACTGAAGGGTGTGTTGTGTAACAGAATCAGAGCTGGGATGGCAGGAAGAAATGTGGGTGGAAGGAAATTAGCAAACGCATCCTCATTTACTGAACAAGGGGGACAAAGTGTGAAATCACACTCCAAAACAGCTTTTAGGTCATGGGGTGATTGTTTGGGGCTACTATGGAACTAGGAACACAAATAAGCTTTATAAAATCTGAATTATTGAGTTAAAGAATGAAACTACAACTAGGCCAGTCATGATAAACAATAAATCAGTTAATCACATGATAAATGAAAATTATACACCTCATTTTCATTTATCGGCTTTATCATTTCTTCGTGTCTCTCTCGTTCTACTGAAGACACTGGATGACAAAAGGCTCAACTCTGGTGTTCTTCACTGACCCCTCCCCCTTTCTCTTTTCTCTTTAACATCCGTTTTAACCGTCCAAAATCACGTTTTTAGATAGTTAAAAGCAGCTAAGCTGAGAAGCTAAGATACGAGCTAAGCTAAGAGGTCGACATCGAGGAAAAAAGACGTCTTGTCAAAGCTCCAAAAATTCACGGTTGAAACCCGTGCCATTGTCTTAAAAGTTGTTTTTCTCTGCAAAAAGAAGCTGAGAGCTTGTTTACCGATTTTTTTCTTTCCAAAAGCTTTGTGTGACAAATGCTATGCTAAAGGGCTCAAACCACACAGAGCATCCGCCATTTTGAGAACCAAAAACAGGAACGAGAGACAGGCCATGCTATGTCAAGGGGCCTCCCTCCCATTTTTCTTAAACTGCTCGCTCCCTCACTATCCATCCTTCCGTTCAAACAGTCGTATACTGCCATCCAATGGTCAAAAAAAGTGCTACACACAAAAATTAACCAACATTTCTTCTTAAATTTGACAATAATTACTAATTATTGTCCAATTTCAAACAATATTATTGTTTATTGCAATAATTTCTGAGACAATTAATTGCCCAGCAAAATTTGTTATCGTGACAGGCCTACCAACAACAGCAAAAAAAAAGCTGGTAATTTCATCTGGTTCATTTGTTAATTCTACTATATTTTCCAACCCAGTTGTTTTTATGTAATGTATAGCCTCTATCTATGACCATGCCAAGCTGTATGTTAAGTAATGCATTACACATCCATACTTCCTGGTATCATTTTGTGACACACTGCTAACAGACAGCACAATCCCTACACGGGCCCTCCCGCTGCCTGGCATCCACTGAGGACATTTGTGACGCAGTGGGAGCACACAGCAGTCATTGTGCATCCAGCGCTGTAATGTCATGGCCCCTTCACTTCAAACACTGACAACCAGTAGGAGGATGCAGAGCGGAGGAAGCCCCAGGTCAGAGGCCGGCTCTGGATTGAGTCACCGACACACAAGTACAAAATGCACAAAATCCACTGAGTGATATATAGTTCTTAAATGCTGTGTGATGACAACTTGACGTCTGTGCAAAACATACACAATCATAGATGAACACTAAACGCACACACGAAGGGGAAGTATGAGGCCATGGCACCTGCGCTCAGAGATATGGTGTTAATTTGTGGACAGTGTATTTTTAGATGTGACTGAGCAGTGCCAAGGGAGGCCTCTTTGACAGCCAGCACTTAAAAGTGGGATCTACACATACAGCCTTCTCGACCAGAAATATACGTGTGCACTTAGCAAAGTATCAGAGTAGCATTCAACAGCAATTTGCAGCCACAATTTAATGGGGCAACGCTGTGAAATCAGTTGTAGTACGAGCACAGAAAAATTTCTAAAGGTCACACAAATTAACATGACCAGAAAACAGCTGCTCAGACTGCCTATGAACACATTAAAAAAAAGCTTCTCTTAGATTAAAATACTGGTTCTTTTTAAAGAGATGCACTGTGAATTAAAATGTTGAAATCAAAATAGTCTTCGCTGCTTTAGGTATCTTGATTCCCCACGAAGGTGTACGTTTATTCTCCCTTGACTGCGTTTGAATTAGCCCTTAACTCGTCACTCTGGTCAGAATTAAACTCTTGATCATTTAAAGTTTACCCACTCAATGACACAGAGGCTGACCAGAAAAGGCCTGCCAGCACCAGGACCCCTATCACCAGGGGTTCAGCATTAAAAATACAGAAGACAAGAAACAAGTTTGGAAAACACCCATGGTGAATGCAAATCCCTAACAAGTTGTAATACTATATGAAACATTATTAGACAGTAACAAGCTATGATAATTTGGTTGCAATGGGCAGATTAAGGACAGAATTGAATTCAAAACCTTACTTCTAACCTACAAAGCTCTCAACAACCTAGCTCCATCTTATACTTCGCTCTCAAACTGCAGGCTTACTTGCGGTCCTGTTAAGATATTTTAATCTAGACTGGTCCTATGGTTTTGATCTGCTCAGAGACTGGATTATAATGAAATTATGACCCGGTTCTGACTGGGTTAAACTGGGCCAGCAAACTCTTGAGAGAGTCTCCCTGGGATTTCAATATCAGTCAAATAGTTTAATCGGCTTGCCACATCACGTAGAAAGGCTTTGAAGCACCGTCTCATATTTCCTAACACGTCAGTCCACATAGGACCACACTTAGCCACGCCCCCTCATACACTGATAGGCTGAGCTCCCCTTCTGTGAAAAGAGGAGTCATAGGATCCCATAAATTAGTAATGACACGGGACTTCGAGGCTCTTCTTCCGGGTCTGTGAACGCGTCACAGACTGTAAA